ATTAAATTAGAACTAAAAAATAATCAAAAAAATTTGAAAAATCATTGTTTTTCTTAATTTATTTTCAAAAAATCCATTTTAAGGGGACCCCTATTCATTGGGGGCCCCAGGCCATGGCCTAGTCTGGCCTAATGGGTAATCCAGTCCTGCATTTATAGTGAACTCCCGGACATCGTTAACAAGACATTCACTCCTGTGCCGTGCTATACACATGTAATGTTATTTTTTGTGGATATAGCTAACTAAAAAAAGAGAGGAAGTTGGACATTATGAACTTTTTTCTGTCTTCGACTGATTTTTTACTTCATTTTCTGGTAATTTTGAAATTTCTACATTTAATACATATACCGATTTTTAAAACCATCAATAGAGAGGAATGTAGCCGCAAGCAATTTTTCTTGTTTACTTCTTTTATCTCAATTTCTCATCCCTAAATTTTTTTTGTATGCAAGACGATTAACAAAAAATAAAATTTAACACATTTTTTGTTACAACATATTGTTTTTTAGTCATTTTTGGTCATTATATATTTTATTGGTCATTTATTTAAATAATTTGCAATAAAAGGGACGAGTTTAGAACCATTGGTTAAAGTTGTTTGAGGTATGGATATAGTGAACTCAATGGTTATAGTGAACCTAAATTTTGGTCCCTTGAAGGTTCACTATAGCGGGGTTCGACTGTATAAAAAAAAAAAGTTAAAGCAAGGATATTATAATAAGTATGGTATTAAGTATAGAAACTAAGAATGAAAGACAGAAGCAGGAAAATTTACATTTAGAATTTCATTGCAACCTTTTTGTGATTTCTCATGCATCTCTGTACTTCATCTGTGATGCGAAGATGATCTGAGATGTTATTGTGGCCTTCACAATAATGCTTATGCCACCTGTAAACGGGCGTTTTCTTCACACAATTGTTTCCGTATGCTTTCTTCAGCATTTCGAGCGTCTCATATGGATATTTCTCGAGCAAAACGCAGAATCTAATGTCCGTACGCTGCTCTAACGACGACATTTCAAAGTCTGACAAATGAAAATAATCCCTTTATCTGAAATGATTTGCAGTTAACGATGACAGAACCAGAAATGAATTCAAGATAGCTATGTGTTTTCGTTATTAGTGCTATTAGTTCGTTATTATAGTGTATATCCTCTAAAAATTATTTTCTCTCCAACGAACACCTGCATGAATGTAGGCGACCATTCGAGGAATTTATTGACCTTACCTCGCATTATATTTTAGCTAACAGTTATCATATTAGATATATTTTCTTTCAAAAAATATTATTTCCTTAAAATGATTCGAAATTAAATAAATTTTCATAATTTTTTTTAATTAAATTTATTACTTTTTCCCAATTTTAGTCTTCTCTTATTTTGAAACAATGAATTACATTACCAGCAAAATAAGATTATTATTTAAAATAGATTTCAACAATACACTAATTTGCAAAAAACCTATTTCTTATCAGACGATGATTATTTCCACTGGGGAAGAATTATGCCATTTTGCTGAAAGCGTGACATTAAATTTGGATTAATAACTTTATGTTATTTTAATCAGAAGATACTTAATTGATAATCAATCTTCTTATTTTTATAATTATTCACATTGTATGAAAACAATAAATTACCTTCAACAAATCATCAATTTCAACAGAACCATCTCTGTCTACGTCCAATTTTTCTAGAACCTCAGCAATCTGTTGAAGCTTAGACTCGTCGGATACTTTTCGGATCTTTCTTATGGCTGTAACCAGGTCATTGATGCTGACAATGTCATCCCTAAAAATAATAATATCTCATAGTCAGGTAACAATCTTAAATAATTGAAACATGACACATATTAGTGATTTGTGCATGTCGATATAGCGACTGTTAAAATTATCTGATTCAAAGATCAAGGAATACACGGTGCTGCACAAAGGGGAATTAACAAGCAGTTTGCCAATCTCATAAACATAACTATAACGTATAGTTTGTCTAAAGTTGTCTGGTAGATAGAGGAATATAGGGCGCACTTTGTGACAGTTCAGCTTTAAATGCAAATAGGCCGTGGCCTATTTACCAGAAATTATTGTAATAAATAAATCTATGACTCCCAATTTATCACCATAAAAATGTAATAATATTTAATTATTAATTGAGTTTCTTGATACATCAAGATATCAATTGAATTGGCCATTGAACCAAGAACCAAAGTGATAGTGCGAGTCCAAGTCGAGGCAAATCTGCTTATTAGATTAAAAGTTATTCAGGATATTCACTTTTTTTGCACACTGTATTTAGATTTGTATATTAAAAGATTTCATGAAGAAAAAAAAGAAGCTAGAGTGTGTGTTTACCTTTCTTTGAGAGGTGTTACACCTTCTTTTTCTTTGTCTTGAATCTGCTGTTCCAGGTTGACTTTCTCTGCAGTCAAATTATGAATCAAACCATCCATTTTGGATACCATTTTGTTTACTTTATTTGATAATCTCGAAGCTGCTTTTGATTCCCTTATTTCTTTGTGACCCGTTTCAAGAACAACATCCTTCAATTCTTCAATATCCTATTTAAAAAGACAACAAGATGTAGGAATCATAAAATCTAATGCTCAACACTGGACGTACTTAGAAAGTCATCTTACCGGGATTACCCGTAATATAGACAGCTACATTGATTGCGACGTTACTTGGATTACGGATTTTGAGTGAATGGGACCTCATTTTATTCACGTCTTTGTTTTGCATTTTCATATTAGAGTCGAACCTCCATTTAACGAAATCGCTAAATCCCAATAATAAGCTTGTGATATGGAAAATTCGTAAACACTAGACATAATTAAAATAGCAATTGATACACATTTGTCTTGTAAACTAGTATCTACATTTCATTTTACAAATCTTAACCATAAAAGAAATCTGCATGGAAAGCAAGAATAGAGCAAAACATTATCCAGTTTTACACTATCATGCTACATACATTTTCAACTAAAAAGAGCTAAACTTATGCATAAAATTATAGCAGCATTTATTATAAAAGTGATTTTAAACATACATTACCGCAGGCTTAAGTTAAATTGCTACTGATAAAATCTGTTAATTTTGGGTGAGTTTTTCGTTTGTAATGCAAACAAAAAGGGAAAGGGATTTCACCGCTTTCTCTAAAAGTTAAGTGGCTTAGAAAATCAATTCAAGGGCATTTCTCCCATAAAATGCGTTTAAAATGTTCTGAAATATTTTGGGAAATAGGAAAAGTGGATCTCAAAGGAAAGTTTGTTAAATAGAAAATTCACTTCACTATTTGGAAGTTATTTTACTAAGAAATTTTCAAAATGTTCTTGGCTCCTTGAAAAAAATTGTAAAATAGCGAAATTCGCAAAATGGAAGTTTGTTAAATAGAAATCAGATTGTATTTTGAGCTGTTTTAATGTATATTTTTGATGGACTTAATGTTAAATGCTATTTTACAGCACTTTAACTATCTCCTACCATAGACTCTGCCCCATGGATTGAGAGATGCATTTACTTTCCAATTAAGTTGACTTAAGAATTAATTCTCCATTAATTTAAAAAATATTTGTATGCATGCTAATTTGTCCCTGCACTCCAGTAACACAGTTAGAGATGTTACTCATCCTGCTATTAGAGAATTGGGAGTTGTAAATTTGAACCTGGAGTTTATAAAGTGCACTTTGAATCTGTTATGCCTGCATGGATACAGGAACGGGGAAACAAATAACTGACCCTGACTCTCATGCCATTACAAATCACAGATGATTATAAAAATAGAACATTAATTTATTTTTAATTTTTTTATGATGATATAGGAAATGCTGAAATAAATGCAAAGAGAATGGAAGTATAAAAAAGAAAATAAATTATGAATTTCTAAGATCAGGGTGCGTAGCCAAATTATTCAACAAAAAATAAGCACCTTTCAAGCACTCAAAAAATATTTTTAAGCATTTAAAAAAAATATCATAATTAGGCAGGGTTGGAAAGTTTTTGACAACAGGCGGTTTTATCTTGTTTTAACTGTCAAGTAAAAAAAAATAATAAAACCTTTTGGCATTGTTTTTGACAAAAGTCAAAAATCCTGAAATTCTGAATCCTGCAAAACGAATGGCGTTTTCATACGCTACGGATTGACAATATGCCAAAATAGATTAGGGTTGAATTAATTGTGAAAACGTCGAATAGAACAATGTGAACTGTGTCTTTTTGCATAATTCGAAGTGGAAATCAACATAGTAAAGGAAAAATCTCATTTTGAAAAAGGGAAAATTAAGCACTTTTAAAAAACACTCAATGAAAAAAAGCACCTTTATGGACTCTTAAAAAACGAAAATAAACACCCTTAAGCACTTCTTAAAAAAGCTACGCATCCTGTAAGATGAATGAAATTAGTGTCTGAGACTGAAGCAAATGTTCCGATTAAAATATATTACTAGTTCCATATGTTATATACATATTCATAGTTTCAGGCATTCCATATGAACTATTTTTGGTACTTTCTATAAACTCAGCAGGGGGATTTGCTTTGCAAAACCTCTTTCATTTCATTTAAGAAACACTTACAATTATAAAGCATGTTAACAATTTCAGTCTTATCATGCTTCAGCTTTTCTAAACATTTTACAATAAACATTTGTGATTGTTCCATTTCAAATTTCATTATTCAATTTAACAAATAGTAGACTTAAAAAGCTAAAGACCTGTTTAAATTGTCATTATTTTTTTTTAAACCTTTCAATGAGCAGAATTTTAAACTATGATCCTTAAAAAGTATAATTCAAACTTTTTAGTCCTCAAATGGATTACCTGTCTGTATTCAGCCATTTCTTCTTTCAAATCTTCAATTTCTTCTTTTTCAATCAGAAGTTTATTCTTTTCAGATGCAATGTTTTCCAAAGCATTTTCGATTTCTTCAAAATCTTCTTTTGAAAGCTCTTCTTCCTTTTTAATTTCTGCAGATTTTGCACCAATGGCTAAATGGAACAATTAACTTTTAATAAGATTATTTTAAAATTTTATTTTCGAATAACTAAATTTTACCACAATAATAAAATATATATATAATTTTTTAAATACCCAATACCAGTCTTTCTGTTGCAATTTATGTGGCCGCATTAAAAATAAAAAAAAAGAAGAAATGTAAGCTTATTGTTTTTACTTTCTTAGGCTATTAAATAACTAATTGTCTTAAATGTTAAAGATTATTGCAAAAAAGTTTTTTTTTTTTTTAAAAAAAAAAAGCTTTTTAAAACAAAATCGGGTTAACAGACACATTTGTGTTGTTAAACAAGCCAAACACCTTTGTCAGAAGTAAAACAGCATACTATAAGTACATATTTGCAATTGATTTTATCGTAAACACTATTAACTTCTAGCAAATCCAGCTCTTAAGCTGTTTCCTATTTTGATTAAATACTTTGCAGGGTCAATTTTAATAAAAATAGTTCAATTCACAAAAAAATAGTTCAATTTTAAATTCACTTTCAACTTTTTGTGACATTTAGGCTTTAAAACATTTTTTAAAGACAAAATCATACTATTGAGCGCTTAAGAACTTTAACATAAACAATAGAAGATAAATAATTCTAAAATAGGTATAGTTCAGTATATTCTAAAATAGTTGCATAATTGTTAAAGATTTTGTAAGTACAGTAAAAGTCTGTTATATTTTATTTTATATAATAAACGTTGTTGAACAGTCATTCCAATTTATTTTAGGGTTCACGACTACTAATGTTCAACTCCGTAGCCTTGTAATTTTGAACCCAATCTATAAGGCAAGGAAACACCTGAATCAAGTATTAGGAGAAATTTGCCTTCATGGAGGACTTTTTGATGGAACTAACCCAAATTTGTGTTACATGAAGAGGAAGACCACAAGAAACTCCCACAGTTAGACTGACAGAAAAAGAACTCTATCCCATGATTCGGAATTCTCAACGACCAGTCATCGCCGGGACTCTAACCCGGCTCACCTCATTGGAAGGTGAACGTTCTATCCCCGAGCCATCCTGGCTCAACAAAAAATTATAATAATAATAACTTGTTACAGAAATAATTCACAATAACAGAGGGAGTTGTTGCAATAAGGAAATACAAATATCTAATGTTGAAATATAGCAATACAAATATGAGTGTAGTATAGTGTTATAAACATCATTGATAACAATGAATGTTGATTTCAATAAAAAGCTACAAGCAAAGAAAAAGAGTGAGCATGAGAGTGAGTAATTAACAAAAGGCATACTTTGAAATTGAGTTTCAGAATTTTTTCTAAAAATAGCAGATTTTTTTAATAAAGAGAAAACTATGCTGATGTCACCCACACAAGTTTGTGTTATAAAGGTAAAAGATTAAAATTTTGAAATAAAATGATGTTCATTTTTTCCTTTTCCTCCATACTGTTACAATAAATCAATAAGAATGTCTTCCGTTTTGCCCTTTTCTGCATTACTTTACCCACTTAATTAGCAAAAAAATATAATTCTCTCAAAAACATTTTTTGCAATTGCAAAAAGATATTAATTTTAACTTGTTATAAACAAAGAATTTTAACATTTTCAATATTTGGCATTTTAACAGTGACATGGAAAATTTTGGGAAAAATGATTTCTCATTACATGGCTGCCAACATGTAAAGGAAAAAATTCAGGACTTTATGAAATAATATAAATTTCAGGATAATTGTTGCATCATGTACTAAATATTTTACAAATAAGGAATTTTATAGTAATCTATACAGAAAAACTGCAATATTTTCCAATTATGATTCAAAATAAATGAACATGAAATGTCAAGTATTATGTTTACTAAATTCTGAAGTAATAGGTATTAAATTCATCAAAGATATTTAACGAGTTTTAAATTAATTTAAAAAAGAGAGTTCTGAATAAAAACAAATTGAACATTTTAGAATAAAAAAAGCTTTCAACTGATTACTATAAATGAGGGTCGCTTCTTTATGTATTAGTAATACTTATTTAAATATTCAAGAAAGCAATAATCTGTGCAAAAATTCTATTTCAATGGGGATATTTTTAAGAAACTCAATTTTTGAGAATTTTCTAAAACGGAGAAAAACTATTAGAATTTTAATTAAACCAGTAGAAACTGGCAAAATCCAGTAGAGTTGACAGCTATGCATATTACATCAAGCGCTCCCTGTAATGTACTTATTTCTGCACATGTGAGATTCAATTGTTATTTAGTTCTTCATCCTGGCACCTCCCACCCAACAAAAAAAGTCATGGACTAGTATAGACAGGGTGCGTAGTCAAATCTTTGAATCAAAAATAAGCACTTTTTAAAAACTTTTCAAGCACTTTACAAAAGTTTTCAAGCACTCAAAAAATTCATATTGAATCAATGATATTATTGAAAAACAAAAACTTTTTATGAACAGTTTTAGCATTAAAAAAAAAACTCAAAAAGAAATGGANCACATCACCGAGTGAATTCAACTTCACCCTGAACTCAGAACAAAAGTACCCTTACCCCCTACGTCAAAAAAGTGTTAGAAGTAAAATAAAATAAACAAGAATAAAATTAAATTAAAAAGAAAAACAATTCATAAGGATCTGATATTCTCTATCTGAATTGGAGCACTCGGGTTTCGGTTTTAAGTGTGTGCGCATGTGCAAGTCATAACGTGGATACGTCAAGAAGTCAGTGTGAATGATAATGTAGCAAATACCCCATTTTTCGTGAAATGCATGGAATCCACCAGATATCACTGAAGAAAAAAAAATTATTTGTGGAAAAAAAGCACCTTTTAAAAACTCCAGCTGAAAAAAGCACCTTTAAAAGCTTTTAAAAACAAAATCCCCCAAAAAGCACCTTTAATTACTTTTTGCAAACGCCATGCACCCTGATAGATAAACGCAAAATACACCACAACATAGAACTGAAAACATTCTTCAATAGATATCACACTCGTATCAAGTCAAATTGCATAAATGAAAAAAAAAAAAAATTTTTTTTTCTTTTTCAAAAAATTTTAAGAAAAAGCAGAGTTGCTACTCAAATCTGAAAAAAAAAATTCCCTGTGTTTTCTCTGTACATATGATATACAATAAATTATGAGGAAACACAACAATTACTGTGCTCTTGTGTGAGGTATATTGGGATAACTATATTTATTAGTTTTAATTGCTGGAAAAACTTACGAGGAAAAAAAATGAGCAACTAAACATACTAAAATAATGATATAGTAAATGAAATAGATTAGTATAGCTGAAATATCAATCTTAAATGCTCCATAGATTATGCTTTGAGTGGTCACCAAATTTTTAAAATACGAAAATAAGAAACAAAATTCCCTGTATTTTCTCAGTGCGTAAAGAAAAAATATCGAAATTCCCTGCATTTTATATGCTTTTTAAATCCCCTGTATTTTCCAGGTTTTCCCTGGTGAATGGCAACCCTGCTTTAAAAGTCAAGTAATGTTAAATTTTACAAAAATCAGAAAAGTATAAAATCTTACCATAGAGCATTTTAAAACTTATTATTAATTAAAGATGAGAGTTGTTATCACCTGCTTACAAAAGATGATGTTTTGAGATTTTACCATTCCTAAATAAATTCTCAAGAATTCCTTTGAAAGCTATTTTTATCAAAGCAACTCTTTTATCAGAATTTTCGGAATTCAAAATAATAATCCATTGGTAAAATTTTCTTTAGCACAAAATCCTCAGAGTAGTTTAGGAAACATAGCATAAAATTGCAGTTTTTTAAGGAAACATAAAATTGCAGTTACTTTTTCCAGATTGAACATCCAATGTAGGAGCTTTGTCTATCAACATATCATTGTCAGCAGTCTCCAAGTCAGTTTTTTGTTGCAACTAAAAGTAAAAGCTATAGTCAAAAACCACTAAAACAATAAGTAGCCACTTTTAATTGATAT